TGCTTGTGGGAGAGAGCCAACAGCAAAGGCAGCTGTGTGCTTTCTGCTTGGCCTGTGCTTCCCCCAGGATGAACATAGCTGACCTAGGCAATGAGTGGGGCTGTGGAAACTACCCAAGTCACCTGTCTGTTTTGAGCCTTCAAGGGGAGCACAGGGGAACAGTGCTCATGCTCCCCACCTGTGTGCACAGTTGACTACCCCAGTCTGAATTGGGAAGGAGTCCCTGGCTCCTGTGATAATGCTGCCTGTTGTGCAGAGGCTACAAAGAAGAGTTCACGTGGGGCGTGAAAGGTTGCTAGGGCAACAGGTTACATCCAGCTCTCCAGCCTCAGCTCAGGCAGTTTGGCTTCAGAATGAAAAAATGTACTGACCTCAGTCTTCTTATAGGAGCTTGCCCCATGGTGGAACTGCCTACCATGGTGGAATTTTCCATTGGGTCAAATCCTGTTACCATTCAGGCCATTCCCTCCCAAGCAGTCTAGAAAGTAGCTATCAGCAAGTTGAGTACCCAGAAAATGGTGGTTGGAGCATGGGAGAAACCCACTCTAGCTGCTTCTCATAGGCCATCTAAATCCTATCTCCTATGGATCACTTTTATAATGAAAACCAAATATCCTCAAATTTGTAAACACAACACCTGCAGGTTAGCCTTCCATAGATATGGGACACCCCCCCCAAAAAAAAAACCTCGGAATTATCTTTTGGAGGCTGGGCCCCTTGTAGTACAGGATTACTCTGCTAGGTAAGTATTCTAGGAACCTATCAGCAGCAGTATACTAGCTAGTGTTGTTTGGAAGACTGTGATCAGCTTCAGATTCTTTCAGTGCATTTGCCCATTTTATGATGGGTGATTTACATGAACAATCTGCCCACACCTCACTGAGTGTTCAGCAGTTTTTGACCAAAAATGGCATGACCCCTTTCTGTTCTCTTCCAAGCAAGCTAGAAAGCAGTCATCAGCAAGAGTTGAGTTCCCAGAAAAAGGCAGCTGTAGCAGGACTTTTTTTGCTGTACTGCTTCACATGGGTTTCAGTAAAGCACAGCTGTGGGTAAGGCAGTTTCCTGTGAGTGACTAGTTTCCTGCGAGGCTAGAAAGCAGCTCTCAGTGAGGGTTGAGTTCCCTAGAGTCTTTCGGGGACTTTGTTTCCTCAGAGAAAAATTCCTCAAAGGGGAAAACGTGAGTCGTGCCATCTGGCTCTCCTCCGCCAGCACCATGAGCTTCACTACTTGTTCCACCACTTTCTCCACCAACTACTGGTCCCTGGGCTCCATCCAGCTACCTAGCCTCCAGTCCACCAGCAGCATGGCCAGCATCTATGCAGGTGCCAGCGGCTCGGGCTCCTGGATCTCTGTGTCCCGCTCCACCAGCTTCTGGGTGGCTAGGGGTCTGGGGGTCTGGGGAGCATCCACAAAGAGTAGGAGACCATACAAGAGCTAAACAACTGCCTGGCCTCCTACCTGGAGAGGGTGAGGATCCTGGACACCAAGAACTGGAGGCTGGAGAGCAAAATCCAGGAACACTGGAGAAGAGGGACCCCAGGTCAGAGACTGGGACATTACTTCAAGACCGTCGAGGACCTGAGGGCTCAGATCTTTGCAACTTCTGTGGAAAATGGCTGCATCGTTCTGCAGATTGACAATGCCTGTCTTGCTGCTGATGACTTTAGAGTCAAGTATGAGGCAGAGCTGGCCATGCGCCAGCAAGATCATGACAGATATCCAGGTCCAGTATGATGAGATGGCTCAGAAAAACCAAGACAAGCTAGACAAGTACTGGTCCCAGCAGACTGAGGAGAGTGCCACAGTGTTCACCACACAGTCCACCAAGATCGGAGCTGCTGAGATGACGCTCACAAAGCTGAAACGTATAGCACGGTCCTTGGAGATTGACCTGGACTCCATGAGAAACCTGAAGGCCAGCTTGGAGAACAGCCTGAGGGAGGTGGAGGCCTTCTACGCCATGCAGATGGAGCAGCTCAACGGCATCCTGCTGCCTGGAGTCTGGGCAGGCATAGACCTGGACATGGGCCAGTGCCAGGCCCAGGAGTATTAGGCCCTGCCGGACATCAAGGTCAAGCTGGAGGCTGAGATCGCCATCTACCGCCACCTGCTGGAGAATGGGGAGGACTTCAGTCTTGTTGATGCCCTGGATAGCAGCAGCTCCATTCAGACCTTCCATATGACCCAGCAATTCCCCTATTGGGAATATATCCGGAGGAACTCAAATCA